GTAACGGGTCAAATAGTGGGTTGGGGCATACACTGCCACATCTATATGAAGAGATACCTCAATGGATGATCTAGTAAATAACGGTATCTATATGAAGAGAAACCTCAATGGATGATCTAGTAAATAACGGTATCTATATGAAGAGACACCTCCTTGGATGATCTAGTAAATAACGGTATCTATATGAAGAGATACCTCAATGGATGATCTAGTAAATAACGGTATCTATATGAAGAGATACCTCAATGGATGATCTAGTAAATAACGGTATCTATATGAAGAGATACCTCAATGGATGTTCTAGTAAATAACGGTATCTAGATGAAGAGACACCTCCTTGGATGATATAGTAAATAAAGGTATCTATATGAAGAGATACCTCAATGAATGATCTAGTAAATAACGGTATCTATATGAAGAGACACCTCCTTGGATGATCTAGTAAATAACGGTATCTATATGAAGAGATAGCTCAATGGATGATCTAGTAAATAACGGTATATATATAAAGAGATACCTCAATGGATGATCTAGTAAATAACGGTATCTATATGAAGAGATACCTCAATGGATGTTCTAGTAAATAACGGTATCTAGATGAAGAGACACCTCCTTGGATGATATAGTAAATAAAGGTATCTATATGAAGAGATACCTCAATGAATGATCTAGTAAATAACGGTATCTATATGAAGAGACACCTCCTTGGATGATCTAGTAAATAACGGTATCTATATGAAGAGATAGCTCAATGGATGATCTAGTAAATAATGGTATATATATAAAGAGATACCTCAATGGATGATCTAGTAAATCCCAGAGAAAGACGCTACTCACTTTGCCTTCCGACGTGTCTTGTATTGGCCCCACGCCAGGTACGTCCGCAGGAAAGGAAGTACAGAAAGCTATGCGCGCCCCTGACTCATTTTCATGAAACTAAGCGTTCTCTCTGCTCACATACCACCGTTGGGTTACACCCAGCACAAAGTAGGTTGCACGTGTGTGTGGGAGTCGTGTGCTGAGTTCCGAAGAGATTGGGTCTAGAGATAAACTGTTAGGTTAATATATCTACGAACGTTGAAAACCATAGCCATGGTCTTATCCATTTGTGTGCTTCTATTTCAAACACACACACACACACATACAAACATATACTCAATCACACACTAACACACACATTGTCTATAATAAAGATTATTATGTTGTTTTTTTTAAAAATTGCATCAAATAATGACATATTAAAAGAGTGCCGGATAGAGCCTTGTGAAACCTAATAGCAAATAGCAGTGTCAGCTTGACCCTTGTGAAAGTTTGTAGCAGTGTCAGCTTGACCCTTGTGAAAGTTTGTAGCAGTGTCAGTTTGACCCTTGTGAAAGTTTGTAGCAGTGTCAGCTTGACCCTTGTGAAAGTTTGTAGCAGTGTCAGTTTGACCCTTGTGAAAGTTTGTAGCAGTGTCAGCTTGACCCTTGTGAAAGTTTGTAGCAGTGTCAGATTGACCCTTGTGAAAGTTTGTAGCAGTGTCAGCTTGACCCTTGTGAAAGTTTGTAGCAGTGTCAGATTGACACTTGTGAAAGTTTGTAGCAGTGTCAGCTTGACCCTTGTGAAAGTTTGTAGCAGTGTCAGCTTGACCCTTGTGAAAGTTTGTAGCAGTGTCAGCTTGACCCTTGTGAAAGTTTGTAGCAGTGTCAGATTGACCCTTGTGAAAGTTTGTAGCAGTGTCAGATTGACCCTTGTGAAAGTTTGTAGCAGTGTCAGCTTGACCCTTGTGAAAGTTTGTAGCAGTGTCAGATTGACACTTGTGAAAGTTTGTAGCAGTGTCAGCTTGACCCTTGGAAAAGTTTGTAGCAGTGTCAGCTTGACCCTTGTGAAAGTTTGTAGCAGTGTCAAATTGACCCTTGTGACAGTTTGTAGCAGTGTCAAATTGACCCTTGTGAAAGTTTGTAGCAGTGTCATTTGACACTTGTGAAAGTTTGTAGCAGTGTCAGATTGACCCTTGTGAAAGTTTGTAGCACTTCAGATTGAGACTTGTAAAAGTTCATAGAAGTGTCAGAATGAGCCTTGTGACAGCTTAAAGCAGTGTCAGATTGAGAATTGTGACAGCTCATAGCAGTGTCACATTGAGACTTGTAAAAGTTCATAGAAGTGTCAGAATGAGCCTTGTGACAGCTTAAAGCAGTGTCAGATTGAGAATTGTGACACCTCATAGCAGTGTCACATTGAGACTTGTAAAAGTTCATAGAAGTGTCAGAATGAGCCTTGTGACAGCTTAAAGCAGTGTCAGATTGAGAATTGTGACAGCTCATAGCAGTGTCACATTGAGACTTGTGACATCTCATAGCAGTGTCAGATTGAGACTTGTAAAAGTTTATAGAAGTGTCAGAATGAGCCTTGTGACAGCTTAAAGCAGTGTCAGATTGAGAATTGTGACAGCTCATAGCAGTGTCACATTGAGACTTGTGACATCTCATAGCAGTGTCAGATTGAGCTCTGTGAAAGCTCATAGGAGTGTCAGAATGAGACATGGGAAAGCTCATAGTCGTGCCAGAATGACCCTTGTGACAGCTTATAACACTGCCAGAATGAGCCTTGTAACATCTTATAGCAGTGCCAGAATGAGCCTTGTGAAAGCTTATAGCAGTGCCAGAATGAGCCTTGTGAAAGCTTATAGCAGTGCCAGAATCAGCCTTGTGACAGTTATACCAGTGCCAGAATGAGCTTTGTGAAAGTGAGCTCGTAACAGTGATGGGACAAGAAGGTGGTGAACAGGGTGACCGCCTAAAGCCTTACGCTAGAGGGCGCCTTGTGCGCGGTCCTCCGTGCTTCTCTCAAGGTAAGTGCCCCCTCTCCCAACCCTCCTCCCACCCCGGAGGGAAAAAGGTGTAACAACCAAACCGTCATAAGCAATTTGGCTCAGGGCAATTTTACTGTTACAGTTTGAAATATATTTAAATTTGAAAACTAAGCAAGTGAGAGAAAACCTAGTAAGACATGTCACATTATAACCAGCATGACAGTGAAATGTTCCATTTTAACCAGTAATAACTAGTATGACTGTGAAAAGTCCCATTATAACCATTAATAATAACCAGTATGACTGTGACATGTCCCATTATAACCAGTAATAACAAGTATGACTGTGAAATGTCCCATTTTACCATTAACAATAAATATGGCTGTGATATGTCCCATTATAACCAGTAATTATAACTAGTATGACTGTGACATGTCCCATCATAACCAGTAACAAAATAACCAGTATGACTGTGACATGTCCCATTATAACAACTAATAATAAATAGTATGACTGTGACATGTCCCATTATAACCAGTAACAAAATAACCAGTATGACTGTAACATGTCCCATTATAACAACTAATAATAACTAGAATGACTGTGACATGTCCCATTATAACAACTAATATATGACTGTGACATGTCCCATTATAACAACTAATAATACCTAGTATGACTGTGACATGTCCCATTATAACCAGTAATAACCAGTAATAACCAGTATGACTGTGACATGTCCCATTATAACCAGTAACAACCAGTTTGACTGTGACATATCCCATTACACTCAGTAATAACCAGTATGACTGTGACATGTCCCATTATAACCAGTAACAACCAGTTTGACTGTGACATGTCCCATTATAACCAGTAACAACCAGTTTGACTGTCACATGTCCCATTATCACCAGTAACATCAGTATGACTGTGACATGTCCCATTATAACCAGTAACAACCAGTTTGACTGTGACATATCCCATTATAACCAGTAACAACCAGTTTGACTGTGACATATCCCATTATAACCAGTAACATCTGTTTGACTGTGACATATCCCATTATAACCAGTAACAACCAGTTTGACTGTGACATATCCCATTATAACCAGTAACATCATTATGACTGTGACATATCCCATTATAACCAGTAATAACCAGTTTGACTGTGGCATGTCCCATTATAACCAGTAACAACCAATTTGACTGTGACATGTCACATTATTCCCAGTAACAACCAGTTTGACTGTGACATATCCCATTATAACCAGTAACAACCAATATGACTGTGACATGTCATATTATTACCAGTAACAACCAGTATGACTGTGATATGCCTTAATATCATATCGGCTCTGGTATTTAAGCAGTATTTTTTTCAAGACATATCCATTCCCCCCCCCCCCCCCCCCGAAAAGCCAACTGTGTTTTTTAACCACACCCTTTTTTTAAAAATTGTAACTTTTCCAACTAGTTTAATAAGATTATAGAAATAGTGGAACCAATTATTTATCACTATGCTCAATACATTTAATGATCCCAATATTTAAGGTGAATCTAGAAACAGCATTTAATTTTAAATGCCTTGGGGGTCCACTGTAGGCCGCTCCTGATAGATTAAAGCTGCACCACTACTCGCCGTAACTTTCTTTCATAAAAGAAATAGACACCGGAAAAAGTCTACGATGAAGCACCATGTTGATATGATAGTAAGATAGTGATTGGTGACATAATGGGAAAGAAAAAGTGTTTATGCCAACTACTGGCAGGGAACTCTGCATGAAGAATCCATTGACAATGGGATCAGACCCATATACTTCCACCCCGGAAGAAATTTTCTGAAAGAAAAACTGCAATTCATGCAGTATTGCTTAAAGCGCCTGGGGGGGGGGGGGTGGGGGAGAGAGAGAGAGAGAGAGAGTTGGCTTCTAGGGCTCAAAAAAAAAAGGGGGGGGGTAGGCCTATATACGACGCCCCTTCATTCAACCATATATCACATTCACAAGCTTGGGTCGTATCTTGGAAAAAAATGCAAGGTAATGCACCCGTAATTCCCCTCCCAAATAATTATGTACTGCAACGTCGCTCCTCCACGTTCCGACAGGACTTGACTCATGATTACTGATTGCTGCCATAATGAACATTTTGAAACCATTTTTTTTTCCAGTTACTGGTTTCCCTTTTCCATAGTAGAGTCCCCTGAATAATAGTGGTCACTGTCACGTGACTTTGAAAGGAAACAAAAATAATTGCAGCCATGATGGTGGGTGGAGATATTTATTACTTATTAAATTGCTTATGTTAACATAAGAAATGGCATTGAAACTTATACGATTTTTTATACATTCTGCAGGATGGAATTGACGACAGCCCTGACCTCTTGGCAGAGGACCAAGATAATAAGGTAATCATATTCTTCAATTAAACAAAAGATGGCATCAGTATGAAGTATGATGAGTGATGATGATGATGGATGTATTTTGTATAATTAAATTTTATAATATAATCATAATAATAATATAGCCTAATATAAATAGTATAATTAATGTGTAATATTTATTATAATTATACCAATAATAATTGTAATGAGTTGGCGGATTTTAAGATTAAGCCAAATGACTAATGATGAATTTAAGAGGTTTAAAGAAGTATAGTCTGAGTAACTGAGTATGAGTAACCTAATTTTAATTAAATATTTGGCTAACTGACTAATTCGTAATAAATCAGGCACATTGTTGTTACCCGAAACTTGCTCTTGAAACTAATAGGCGAGTAGTTAAGAATTTTTACTTGACGCAACATTGAATAACACTTACTGAAAAGACACTAATAACAAACTGTCAGTAAACTCATACTTGACAGGCCAGACACCATTTTGCACACATTCATCATTGATTTTCTTGGCTGCCATCATCATTGCTTAATTAAAGCAGGCCTGCATAACATGAGGGGCTGCACTTGGCGGCCCCCGAAGTAACGAAATATTCTTTATTATTATTATTTTCTTAATAGCTTTCGCCCCGTCCTATTATCTTTCGGCCTGCACAAGTTTTTCATAAAGAACTACGGCCCACCTTACCTTTTGAGTAGTGCAGGCCTGGCTTAAAGCATCATTAAATGACTCTGCAACAAGCAGGCAGACTAGAAACAAAAATGTTGTCCAAAGCAAAACTGTATATTTAAACCTAGTCCAAACCCTAAAATGAGTAACCCTAATCCCAAAAATGAGAATCCCTAACCCCCCAAAATGAGTCGGCTAACTCAGAAAAGAGGACCCCTAATAGGGTGAACCCTATAATTTATCGGCACCAGCTCTTCTGACATAAACCACCATCTTCCATGTGTGCTACACAGGGTGGTGAAACTACTACTTTAGTCTACTACCTGAGGATGGCAACTAATTAATTAAAAATGAATTATTGGTGATTGAGGCTAATGTGCACATATGTAATAATAGTATGGCTACTATGACGTATAATGTTTATTACAAGTTGACCTTTTAGTTTAAAGCCTAGGATTAAAAACAATTTTAAAAAATCAAACGATTCATAGACAGGATAGACATCACCAAATAATGCAGAAGTTGTTGTTCAGATGTAGACAATGTAGCATACAATTTTAGGCACAAGCAGTAAAACAAACTACTTTATTCTGGTGATTAATAGAATCCAATGCTCCCTATGCATGTTTTGCCATGGACAGAGATTATTACTTCCTAATTCAATTTGGCCCTGTGCTGGCCCAGTCTCATAAGTGGATGCTACATACTGCACACCACTATTATAGACACTAAGATAGATATTTATTATATAAAGTTGTAATCTGGGGCTATTGGTGCGTTGTCTGCCATATTCTAGCCAGGGCCTATTGCAAAAAACTCAGTCACTTTGTCCATCATTTGTATTCAAATTCAAAGCAGTTGGACGTAGTGAAGGGTGGAAAGGACAGTAGGGATTCCATCTCCATTCAAGAATTACAAAACAAGCTATTTTATTACTTACCAAAGTTGTTTTAAAAGAAAAAATATATTTACAGGCATTTTCCACATGCAAAAAGCTTAAGTTCTTACAAAGTTTAGTACTATTCATTATTTAATGGATTGAATAAGACTGGTAAAGATAATAAAATGTTGCTAGGACTTGGCTGGAGATTTCTGAAGTATGCCTGCTTTTAATGAAAATTTTGTAAAACATGTGTCACACATCATATGTCAGATCCCCTGTTAAAAAGTAGCTGAAATTCATATAAGCATCACTAATTTAACAATGTTGGAAGAGGCTGAAATTCATATAAGCATCACTAATTGAAAAACATTTCTAAAAATAAAAAAAAGGTTTAGACATACTTATAGTTAATATAATTAGGGGAGTGATTTGAGAATGTTGCTTGCTATCAGTCAGAAACAAAACCAAAGTTGTGAACAAATGCAACAGGTTGGCCTATTTATTATTTACAAACTGTGTTGTGGTTGATTGGTGGACATAGCTACATGTAGAGCAGAATGAATATCCATGATATCATATTTTGATATATGGAAGCTAATTGATAAATTGAATAAGATTAAGGTAGTTTGAGCTAGTTTTAAATATCCTGCTGCCGCTTAAGAATCCAAGTTTTAATATTACAAATTTTTCATTTCTAGTAGAGTCTTATCTGATATACAATTCTTCCCTCCCTTCTAGCTTTTATTCTGCCAAATCAAATCATTCATTGCAAACCATCTTTCCTTGCAAGGAAGATGTATTTAAAAAATTCCTATATAAATCTTATTTAGACCAGGTCAGACACTGTGGACCTCACAGATACCTCCCTGATGGTGGATATATCAGATGCTCTCAGTGAAAGGGAAAAGGTTAAATTCACTGTACACACTAAGGTATGCAGGTTACACATACTTATTTTAAAAAGTTGACTATTTGTTGTCTGTTCTGAGACTACCAACTTATTCTTAAATTGTTTCCAGAAAATAACTTATTCTTAAATTGTTTCACATGCCCTTATTGTGAAACCAGTCGGAATTCGTTAATTTTATAAAGGCCTTCCTTTTCGCTGAACCATGCATGTTCAAAATTTGAAACATTGCACGCTTATATGCCTGTGATCATTTTTCATTTTGATTTATAAAATAAATAAATATTAATACAATTAACCATTTCCTTTCCAGACGACACTCCAGCACTTTAAGAATTCTGAGATGTCAGTTGTGAGACAACATGAAGAATTTGTTTGGTTACACGATCGATACGTAGAAAATGAAGAATATGCTGGAGTTATTGTAAGCCATTTTTCAGCATCTTTCTTAAAACATTTCTTAAGAACCTCTTCTGTGACCACCCAAACACAATTGTCATCAGATATATAGTCTCTTATTTTCTTTTGGTTAAAAATAATAGTAATATCAGTCCCAGAGATTATCCTGATGTCAACAACAGAAAACCTGTTTTTCTATTAGTGAGGAGGCTAAAGTAAGTGGTAAAGAAAACAGCTAAGCAGAGCTGTCATGTGGGCCCCAGTGTTTGCAGGAGCCTCAGATATTAAAGGGGCCCAAAACTGTGAGGTAAAAAAAAAATAGTACAAATTAATTTCTCTAGATAACTGATTAGTAATTTCATCATTTGAAGGGGTCATCAGACTGGCGCACCCCCCCATGCCTGAAATGGCTGCGGTCGCCCATGTTAGTTTCACTAACGCAGTTTCGGATATAGCTGGAATTAACTTATATTTCCCTCAAAGTTTGGGGCCTGGTGATGTAATTGTTTACACACAGGAACTCTCAAACCAGTGATTGGAGTTTCAGTCTCGATGGATTGACACTGTTTTTTTTTTCTCAATAGCTTTTTAGACAAAGGGTAGGCCTAAATAATTCGAGGTAGGACTTCTCAACCTTTATTAGACCAAGGACTATTTTGATGATGACCATTGACCTCCTCGTAGATTGAGTATTAAAATTACAAAGGAAAAGCAGCTCACTGACCCAGTGACACCTTCTCTATTGACCACAGGTTGAGACCCTGCTCCAGAGCAGTGTTTCCCAAATGTTTATGTTTGGTAGACAGGATGATAAGTTTCCAAGCGCTTCACAGATTGGTGCCAGCTTTATTAATTAGCAATTCAGCCAATGCGAGAGACATGGAATGAGCATCACCATTTAATGCTAGCTATTATATGTTATTTTGGTATTGCTATGACACTCTACTTAATTTTCATACAGTTCTTTTTTGGCTTCATAACCAGGGAGGGGGGGGGGGTCGAAAATTTCTGCTGCCATGCCTTTCTGAGTGCTTACTCACACTATGATGGAGAAGGTGAATTCAATTAAGTTTATACATTTATTTTCAGTATTGCTATGACACTCTACTTAATTTTCATACAGTTCTTTTTTGGCTTCATAACCAGGGAGGGGGGGGGGGGTCGAAAATTTCTGCTGCCATGCCTTTCTGAGTGCTTACTCACACTATGATGGAGAAGGTGAATTCAATTAAGTTTATACATTGATTTTCCTAAAGTTATACTTGATTAGATTTTTCACTTTGTGCCAAAAATTTTAAGTATTTTTTTAACATTTCATATCTATTGATGTGCTAAATAAAAGGGAACATAGAAATTAATTCTAATATTAATTAACATTTTAATCGCAGTCGGGATAATTCTTCACTTTTAGAAATGGTCAAATAGTTATATTTTGAGAGAACACTTATAGTGGTTGTATATTTTCAGATCTTAAGAAGATTCAAATTTCTAGCTATCTATACGTCTTATAAGAACACCAAGTATTTTTTGGGACAAATCTTTGCATTTATAATATAAAAAAATAAACAATAATTTAAAAACAGATTCCTCCAGCACCCCCAAAGCCAGATTTTGATGCGTCCCGTGAAAAGCTGCAGAGACTGGGTGAGGGTGAGGGAACTATGACGAAAGAAGAATTTACCAAAATGAAACAGGAATTAGAGGCGTATGTATTATTACATTTTTAAGAAATTCACCTTTCTGTCCCACGATAAGGATTAAGACCTGGTCAGTTAAGATTAAGGTTGATTTTAAAATAATACTTTTTGTATGAAATCGTTTAGAGAACTCTGAATTAGTTTCAATTCTATTAATAAACTGCGAGACTTGCAGACGAGACTGCCACGCCTGCATGGTCTCATAAGCTACTTGGGGTAAGGCTAATAATTCAGAAGGTGGACCGGGTTCAGCCCGTGTTACCCTGCATATTTGGCTCTCATGGATTAGAGTTTATTTGTCAATGGCCTTCACATGTGCCAGCGTCCACGTCTCTCATGGATTAGAGTTTATTTGTCAATGGCCTTCACAGGTGCCAGCATCCACATCTCTCATGGATTAGAGTTTATTTGTCAACGGCCTTCACAGGTGCCAGCGTCCACGTCTCTCATGGATTAGAGTTTTATTTGTCAACGGCCTTCACAGATGCCAGCGTCCACATCTCTCATGGATTAGAGTTTATTTGTCAACGGCCTTCACAGATGCCCGTGTCCACATCTCTCCTGGATTAGAGTTTGTCAACGTGACTCTGTTTCTATACCTCCCTTAATTCTGTAGTGCCCATTCAGCAACTGCTTCAGTGCCCATTCAGCAACTGCACGCATTGCCCATTCAGCGACTGCCTAGTGTCCATTCAGCGACTGCCTGCAGTGCCCATTCAGCGACTGTCTGCAGTGCCCATTCAGCGACTGCCTGCAGTGTCCATTCAGCGACTGCTTGCAGTGCCCAGTCAGCGACTGCCTGCAGTGCCCATTCAGCAACTGCCTGCAGTGCCCATTCAGCAACTGCCTGCAGTGCCCATTCAGCGACTGCCTGCAGTGCCCATTCAGCGACTGCCTGCAGTGCCCATTCAGCGACTGCCTGACTTCTTAACCAAAAGATCATTTGATTGGCTGTTTTATTGGGATCGATGCGCCTGCTTAAATTGATTATGAATATAAATAATTAACTATAAAGGACCATTTTGTGTAAAAGGGTTCAAGAGAAATGCACCAGCCATTTCCACTATGCAAAACATTATACTTCTAGCTGATGGTAACTACTTGTGGCATTTTCTCACTTTGTACCATAATATGCCTAAGTATTTTTATTGCCAATCATTTGCAGAGAATATCTAGCAACCTTTAAGAAAACTGTGGCCATGCATGAAGTATTTCTTCAAAGACTTGCTTCCCATCCAGTCTTGAGAAATGATGTTAATTTTGAAGTATTTTTGGAATATGCAGGAGACGTAAGCTAAACACACATTATATTTATAACAATGTTTAATTTTTTTAGAAGTCTCTGCAGTTCCTAAGTATGTTAGTTCTTGCTAATAAGAAAAGTTGCAGCATAGAGCAGTGGTTTAAGTCTTAGAGTCTTAGTTGTAATCATAGTAGTGTTTTGATGAATTACAAATTTGACTTTTTAGAAATATAGGTTTGGTTGTTTTAAGCAAACTGCTTAATTTATTGCAGATGAGTGTAAGAGGTAAAAATAAGAAAGAGAGACTTGGTGGTTTTTTTAAAAGCATTACAAAGACAGCAGATGAAGTTCTAATATCAGGTCAAAAGGTGAGTTTTCTTGAATGCCAGAACTCTTTTAATTTTAAGTTAAGTTTGATTGGGAATGAAGCAAAATCACATGGGACTAAGTGAGCGGACTTGTGGATGAGTGTTGATGAATCTTCTAAGCATTTCTAGCATTGGCTGGTGATTGATCATGTTGAAGTCTTCAACCGACTCTTGAAACATAGGTGCTATTCTAAACCCCGTCTGCGACTAAAGCATGATCCCTATAGAGCATTTTGAGGGTCCCTATAATAGCCACCTGAAGATTTGAGATCATTCTGAACACAGTGCTACACAGGTAACAAATAAAGGTGTTGTATACTAATTCAGGAAGCTTGAAAGCATTTACCTTCAGCGTCATAATCATTTTGGTCAAATGGAACACCAAGGGCAGTAATGTATAAAATAACTTCACATGATTGTAATTATGATAACAGCATTCAACGTAGACGCAAGTTACATGTGCCAAATGAAATTAGGATGTAGTCGGCAAATTGCATTTTTCAGAGCAGAGCTGTTAACTTTAATAAAATAGTTTAAACATTGGTTTCCAACTTTTAAATTAAATTGTTTAACTTTATTCGGTAAAAATGATGGAATTTTGTTTTTTTTGCTTCCTTTTTATTTTTGAAGATGCAACGCTTTGATCAGTGTTAATAAAGTAGGTAAAGTTCTCTAAATTTTGGGCCTCATTTAACAAACTTTACTTCTTTTTGATGATATTTGTCAAAGCCATTCTGTTTTGTTTTATTAAATAGATTATGTAGCAATGACTTGAATACAAATATGATTTCTCAAGTCTTCTTTTTTTTGCAGGATGTTGATGAGTTCTTTGAATCAGAAAAAGTTTTTCTTATAGAATATCATAACAAAATAAAAGATGCTACGGGGAAAGCTGATAAAATGACAAAAGTTCACAAAAGTAAGTACACCAGACTCTTATTGAAACATTGAAACAAACTTTATTGATGAACAAAGTAATTTGCCGGGTTTTTTTCTGTACTATTTTGATAGTGAGCTGCCCTGATGTTTGAAGCTATACTTGGTGTTGTAGTTAACATTTTTTTAAAAAAAGGTGGTGATGTAACCTTATTGTGGATTCTAGGCCAGGCCGTCGTAACCTTATTGTGGATTCTAGGCCAGGCCACCATAACCTTATTGTGGATTCTAGGCCAGACTGCCGTAACCTTATTGTGGATTCTAGGCCAAGCCGCCATAAGCTTATTGTGGATTCAAGGAGCCAAGCTGGTTTCTTGAAGTTGGATTTGCCCAAACCCCAGATTGTCAAATGAATGATCTATTCATAAAAACATGGTTTTGAATTACACTGGCAGATTAAGGGTCATACTGTTCACTTGTTTTTTTTTTATTAACATAAAACATTTTTGTGTTATAATAAATCGACCGATCTGCCTTTCACTGATTTCACTGTTGATGTTTAGAGATGGTGTCGTATAAGCCCATATTATAGTTAATGGTGTCATATTAACATATAATGGCAAAAATGTATGTTAAAATGTTGCACATTAGATATGTGTGCAGTTTTTCATGAACACTTTATATGTACACATTGCAACAAGAAAAATTCATGAATATTTTCTTTAAAAAAATAAACTGACACTTAAACAAAAATAACTTCTTTAAAGTCAGATTTTTGTCAACTTTTGATTATTTCATCGATGAATTATTTTATTTTATGACCCAGTTTAACGTTAAATGTAATGAATAGTAACCCATTGGTTAATTTTGCCAGCTCTAGTAATACAGTTTCCTGTATTGGAATTAATTCCTGTGAAATAATTACTGTCTGCCTCCACAGAGTTTATTAGATTACTGTTTTAAAACCCTATTTGTCACCAAATTGGGGGGAAACGACACTCTGCCGATTATGATTAACAGTTTGCATTATGCTTGGACATGGCATTTTATTACTTCTTTGTTTTTCAAACAAAAAGTTATTGATTCGCATTAGGGCTGAACCAGTGCAGTTTTTTTTTACATCAGGTCCGGGTATTTTAAGACAATACCCCATGGGTGTTACAAAGAGTTGTCTTCTCATTTTCTATAAAGTTTTAAACCTAGTGGGGAAAAGTGCATGTATGGGTACAGTAGCAACCACGAAGTTATCAAATTTGAAGGCTTCAAAACAAAAGCTTAATCATATAGTTCTTGCCCAGCAGATCTCAACCTTTACAGTGTTGCAACCCCTGTATAACATGAGCCAAGTTGTGGTGACCCACAGCCAGAATTATACCTTGAAATTAAGAAACAGGTGTTAAGGGGGAGAGTAGAGCTTTTTTTGTTGATAACAGGGTGTTGTTGATGTAATTTTGATCGGTTGGGGGGAGGGGGTGGATCGGTAAGTCAATCCCCATAAAAGTTTTGATCAATTCAAATGCCTGGATTGCAGTTTACCATGGAAGCCACCAACTTTTCCGTTTAGCCTGCCTAAAAAATGAAACACATTGAAAAAAATCAGTTTGGGGGAAAAGTTATTTGTAATGAAAATTTTTTTTAATGAAAAGAAACTTCTAAAATATTTTTTATTACACAGCTGATATCCATTGAACAAATTATACAATTATACTTTTTATTTTACATAGCTGAAGTGTAGTCAAATCATAGTAACAATAAGGAAATATCCACTACATTGTAGTCATAGTGTAGTAATAGTAAGAAAATATCTTCTGCATAGTAGTCATAGTTTAGTAACAGTAAGAAACTTTTCGCTGCATTGTACTCATAGTGTAGTCATTGTGTGGTCATCATGTAGTCGTAGTTTAGTAATGGTAAGAAACTATCCACTGCATTGTAGTCTTAGTGTAGTTACAGTAAGAAACTATCCACTGCATTGTAGTCATAGTGTAATAACAGTAAGAAATATCCACTGCAGTGTATGGGACTTAGCCTTATCTAGTTTCACTGTTGATCTCGGCTGATCAAAGGGGACTTAGCCTTATCTACTTTCACTGTTGATCTCGGCGGATCAAAGGGGACTTTGCCGTATCTAGTTTCACTGTTGATCTCAGCTGATCAAAGTTTCACTGTTGATCTCGGTTGATAAAAGGGGACTTAGCCTTATCTAGTTTCACTGTTGATCTCGGCTGATCAAAGGGGACTTAGTCTTATCTAGTTTCACTGTTGATCTTGGCGGATCAAATTGGACTTAGCCTTATCTAGTTTCACTGTTGATCTTGTCTGATCAAAGGGGACTTTGCCTTATCTAGTTTCACTGTTAATCTCGGCGGATCAAAAGGGACTTAGACCCCATCTAGTTTCACTGTTGATCCTGGCAGGTCAAGGCCTTCTGTTCAATCATTGTGGACTTAGCCTTATCTAGTTTCACTGTTGATCTCGGGGGATCAATAAGTGTTAGAGTTTCTTCTGTTCCAGAAGTGTGTCCCACGTTCCTGCCTTGGTAGCTTTTCGAAGCGAAGTAGGCAATCCCGGTCGTAGAATCCGTGTGATCTCTGTGATGGTGAAGTAGATTCTCCAGCGATAAATCATGGGTGGTAAGAGTCCCTGAATCTCGAGGTCCTTTATCGTAGCCGTAGGTAGTTTGGTTTGAGACATAAAACGATCCCCTAGTTCCACCTTCAAGGTATGTTGGTTCAGTAAGAATAAACCAGGTAGTATTCCAGATTGCAGCTAATGATCACGCTAATGAAGTCGTAAATATAGTAGGCTACAGAGTTCACTATCAAGTAACAGGATCATAAAAGTCAGATTCTGATCTGCTCTTGCTATTTATTTAAGTCGGGTGATGATTTTAATTGTTTTGTTTAAAAGTGTTTGTTCTCCCATCCAATGATAATCATTCTCATTTTACGGGTTTGACCTTCTGCCCAGAAAGTTTATAAGGGAGATGGGGTGTATACAAAAATCATGATTTTGCGTGAGCTGTCGCGCGTCTGAATGCAATAATAACAAGGGAGACTACTCCGGTTATCCTACTGCAAGGGCAAAACTGGGGGAGGGGGGGTATTATTTAAGGGCGAGTTTACGGTGGAAGAATTTCACAATGTCTAGCTTCAAACCATTGCACAAGTGACCCCTAATATTTTGTCAGGCGACCTTCAAAGGGAGTATATGTTAATGTTGCTGGTCACTGGTTGGTAGCAGTTTTCATTTTTCTGAACAAACATACACACAATATTTTAATAAATATTATCATCATCATGGTGATACCATCCTAGCCTTCCTTCAGTTAAGTCAAGTGCCTCACTTATAAAATGGGTGTTAAATAACATTACTATTATTGAATTCACTGACAGAACTTAGAAATGAACACACTCTTTAATTATTCAGTATCATCACCCAGTCAGCATGTAAAATGAATTATAAATTTTAAATTTGAAGTTAAATATAGTTTCCCACCAATAACTAATGAGTTTTCTATTATTATTTTTTTAAATTCAGGCAAAATGTATAAAAACATTATGTTCTGTATTTGTGTCAAAAGGGTTTAACACATTAAATAGAATGAGCAGATATCTCTTTTTTTTTTTTTTTTTTTTTTTTCACACTTAAAATTGTTTTTTTTTTTTTTTTTTTTTTACACACCTGAACCTGGTTTAATTTTTTGCAGGATCTTAAAATATATAAGCTATGTAAAGTTTATAGCTATATTTAAAATATTTACAATTTAAAGTTTGCTTCATTTTTAAAAACAAAATTATTTAGGCATTGTAGACATTTAAAATTTATTTCTATTTTAGGTGTTGCAGACTCCTATATTCAAATTTCTACTGGGTTAGTTCAGTTGGCCACAATTGAGAACACAGAACTCGATAGGTAATTATGATTTATTTACATTTAATCATTCTACTGCATTCTTTTTTCAAATCTATCAATATTTGTTTTAAATTAAAATAATGAGAAGATGGCAAAATATTTTGTTCTGTGCCTTAAAAACCTTTGTTTCTTTTTAGCTGTTATTGACATATTTTGTAGTTTGTAATAGATAGCCAAAGATATTTATTATATTTAAAAGTAGTTAAAAACTCCTTTCATAGTGAAATGATTGTATGTCATAATGGGTAGTTTGTAATAGATATCTAAAGATATTTATTATATTTACTATGGTCAAATGGTTGGTTGTATGCAATAACTAAAGATATTTACCATGGTCAAATGGTTGTATGCTATATTGGGTAGTTTGTAATAGATAACTCATTTTCTGTTTCGGGTTGATCCTGAAGTGTCAAAGTGTCCTCGTTTTATAGCCATTTTCATTGTTTCTATAGTATAGTAGTTACTATCCTAGTGTCTCATTTGTATTTACTTAGTTTACATGTTTTAATAATTGTAAAGCGCTTAGAGCTTTATGATAAGCGCTATATAAAAATGCCTAAATAAATAAATAAATAAATAACTAAATATATTTATTATATTTACCATGGTCAAATGGTTGCATGCTATATTGGGTATTTGTAATAGATAACTAAAGATATTTATTATATTTTCCATTGTTAAATGGTTGTATACTATATTGGGTAGTTTGTAATAGATAATTAAAAATATGTATTATATTGACCATGGTCAAATGGTTGTATGTATTTATTTCCAATTAGAAAAAGGCTTGTGGAAGCCATATAATTGTGTATGATTAAAGTTTGTTGCTATCTTTCACCCAAATAAACATTTCCCTTCATTGGCGAAAGCCCAACTACAAAGAAAATGGACTAGATATTGGTCAACAGTAGAAAGCAGTTTGACTTTGATGAAAGTAAAATACTTAGTGGGGGAGGTGGGGGCTTCTACCCTAAACTGTATCACTTTAAATCCATCAGTTTATTATTGATCATGCCCATTATTAACAAATTTCAGAATCTATAGTAAAGTAGCAGAAGCCTTGGAGAAAGCAAGGGTAAGTGTTCAATTAAAAAAAAAAGAAAGAAAGATATACGTCCATTTTTGATAACAAGAGAGCAGCAGGCGCCAAGCTATACAAAGTCCAGAGGCCCTAAGCTCAAGCTTATGAACTTATTGGTATATCTGAGCCAGATTGTGAGGCACTAAGCTGTAGCTTATTTAGTTTTTTGGTCTAACTGAAACTAACATTGTAAATTCACTGTAATCAATTCTTCTTCTTCTTCTATATCTTAAGGGCCCACGATCAATTTATTGATCATTTTGGCTCCTATGCATGTAGATGGGATTTGCAATGTTTCTGTTACTGGTGGTGATGAGGAAATTATGCACTAGGGGTTTGAAGGCTTGAGGCAATAGACACAATTGGTGACTGACTTCAGATATTTTTAAAACATACTAACAGAACATATTTTCTCAATGGATAAAAGTGTCAAAATTCAATAATTTTGTTTGATTTACAATCTGATGTACAATTTGAATAAATAAAGCCATATTTATTAGCTATTTGACGTACAATTTGAATAGATAAAGCCATATTTTTTTTGCTATTTGACATACAATTTCAATAAATAAAGCCTACCAATAAAATTAATTTCCCTTCCTAACATTTTTGTTAAGTGACTAATGATCGCATAAATGTTTATATCATTTATATGCAACCGCAGGTGATGTTTCTGAAATAGTTTTCTTAACCGGTGTTATAAGAAACAAGATATTATAGAAATGTTTGCTTTCAGAAATTGCAAGGGCGAGTAGCATCAGATGAAGACTTGAAGTTAAGTGACACACTGCGTTATTATATGAGAGATTCTATGGCAGCAAAGGATTTACTTTACAGAAGAATGAGAGCTCTAGTAGATTATGAAAATGCTAATAAGGCACTAGAAAAAGCCAGGACCAAGAACAAAGAAGTGGCTGCAGTAAGTCCACTAATTGTGTTTGACATTAAATTTGTGTTGTTGCTCTGTTGTAAACCTCTTCACATGTTCGTAAACTCTTAACGCTTATTCTTTGTGCTGCTCAAATTCTGGGCACTGGGGGGGGGGGCTAATCAAAATTTTAGTCTTAATTAAATAAGGCTAAAGGAAGTCGTATATCATAGAGTCACAGAAAAGCAACTGCACTGGCAGCTGTTTAACCCTGTAATTGTCAAGAGCATTTTACTGTAGCGTCTGGACATTTTTAGCATTTTATTATGCTTGTCCAAAATGAGGCGAGACTAAATGAATTCAGGGATCCTTACAAGTATACATTTTCTGAAAGTAAATTAGACAGGGTATCTTATGGTATGAAAAAAAAATGTTTTTATATTGTTATGTTGATATTGACCTCGACCTTAACGGAGTGAGTAAAATTTACTACTCAAAATCTGAATTCATACTCCATAAATTGTTCAAACTATTATAAAATCAAGTTTTTGAGATATTTTTTTATAAAATGTCAATTTATAGTTACTTATATTGAAAACTGTAATATTGTTTCAAATTTCTGTCATACAAAATACGAAGGGGAAGGCATGAAATGAGTCCTAAAATGCCTTTTCAACTGAAGTTATTAAATCCATTTTTTTTATTAATTAATACTCCGGTACATACACAAACATAAAATGTCTTGAAGTAGGTCTTTGGGATCCAATTTTTGTCTTTCTTTATTTCATTTCCACCCTTTCCCAAATGAATTTGTCAGTAACAATACGACTAAGCTCAGTGATAAAATTGTCAATATCGGACTCATGTTGCCAGCACCGCTAGAGTAAATATTGTCATTACAAGCAAGTGGAATATCTCTGAATAATTGCTTTCATTTTAATCCCATTTGAAATAATTCAACATCAGACATGGTGGTCAAAAATTTTAGAAAATTTCACACTAGATTATTCATACAAAAATCTCAGATAAAATTACGTAACAGAAATAGGAAGCAAACTCATTTATATAGAGTGATTTCCCCTTAAACACTGTACATTAAATCATTCACATATTTTATGACGATTTTGCTATCGGCCGTGACACCACAGAAAGGGTATAATGGCCGATGATCAGCCATTTTGTGCATAACATAAAATGAGCTCTGTATTCTATAGAATGCCTAGGCATATCCTAAAATGAGCTCTGTATTCTATGGAATGCATAGGCATATCCTAAAATGAGCTCTGTATTCTATATAATGCCTAGGCATATCCTAAAATAAGCTCTGTATACTATAGAATACCTAGGCAAAGTGTATTGATGAAGATATTGTATAGTTTTTTATATATCTAAAACATTCTATAGAATGCCTGGATTTAACTATTGTTCCTGTAACATATACATAATTGTTTTTGGTGGACTCTGTATATTTATGAATATTACACTCAAATGCTAGAGCACTAAAATGTTGTAATAAGGGGCCTTTTAATTTATCAAAATAATATTGAGACTCCAACTTTGATGTTTGACATTAATTTCCAGGCTGAGAAAACCCAAGAATTATGTTGCAAGAAGTTTGAAAAGATTTCAGAAGTTGCTAAAAAAGGTTAGAAAAATATACTGTGTTTGATGAGATTAGAGATAGTCTGTGTTTGATGAGATTAGAGATTGACTGTGTTTGATGAGATTAGCGATAGACTGTGTTTGATGAGATTAGAGATAGACTGTGTTTGATGAGATTAGAACACCCAAGTATCAGCTGCCAATTTCATCCTCAAAAGAAGCATTTGAGTGTACAACAGACCTGTTTACTATTATGATTTTGGCATACACATACAATTTTGAGATGTCTTTTACAATTGTGCGCCAAGACCTGTCAGAACTACGATTTTAAGAGACCATGTTGAAAATATATATTCTGGAAGTTTTTCGGATTTTACATCAGCTTTACTCTATTCCACTCTGCACCCGATGCGAGTGGTGTTATTGTATAAATTATATAGTCTTTTATTTATTTACTATTATGATACATTAATTTACGATTTTTAGATGCTATTGTATGTTTTTTGGGGTTCAGGAGTAATGGGGTGTGGTACACTAACAACAGAGTGCAAGCCAACCTTGTTATCTGACTTGATATGAAGCTGTTGGATTTAAAGACAACTTTTTTTTTTAATGTAGCTGCAAAATGAAAAGTTCAACAAAATAAAGAAATCCATAAAAATACAGGAAATATTATTCTCAAAGGATCTTAAATCTCTTTTATATTCTGTCAAACTTTTTAAAAGAATCTTTAATTTAATTCCTCAGAAATCCAAGAATTCAAGTCTAGGAGAATCATTTATTTTAGAAAGCATTTGGTAGAATTAGTTGAGTTGGAAATGAAACATGCAAAAGTAAGTTGACCTGTTAGCTAAGAAGTGATGTTTAAGTTGACCTGTTAGCTAATAAGTGATGGTTATGTTGAAATGAAAAGGAGGTTTTACTGTTGTTTTCAACTCATAACTGCAGCTGTCATTTTAATAAGCATAAAATTAAGCTATGTCATCAGAATATTTTTATGGACCTTTTGGCAATGTTTCATTAAATAAAATAATTTTTCTTCTTAATAAAATAATACTCTTGTGACAGTTAGTTTTAAAAAATTTCTTATAGTAATTTGTCTACTCTAATAAATTTGTGTACTTTGATACATTTGTCTGCTCTCTGTTAGGCTCAGGTGCAACTGTTAAAAAATTGTATCACAGCATTACAAGGAAGAGAGGAATGAGTTTCTTGGAGAGCCAATGGGATGTGTACACCATGTATGACATTCTGATGTCTGGCACTACTTTAGGACAATTCATCTGTAAATCATCTTACTATATGTACCGCATTGTTGAGATACTTCATTCATTAGTCATCTGGTGTGTGTAAGACTTTGTAAAGATATGTCATTTCAATGTGTGTACAATGTTATTTAAGATATGTCATTTCAATGTGTGTAGAATGTTATTTAAGATGTCATTTCATTGTGTGTACAATGTTATTTAAGAAATGACATTTCTACGTTTTGTTAATCTTCGTTCAACTATGTGATTCTTTTTATTACGTTTAACAATTGATCAAACTCAACTATTTATAGATTTGTTCGCTTTTTTTTTTTATATTTTAATATTAAAAATATAAAAAAAAATAATTAAAAAAAAAAAAAAAAAAAAAAAAAAAAAAAAAA